CTAGTTTACAAGATAAAAAACAAATAGTATGAACTAGTTCAGTTATGACATACTTTTGTTCGACAAAACTGCTTTTGAGATGTGAGCATGTTAGTTATGTAGAAATTTTGAGTTTACCTATGGGTCTTATTTTGTTGGACCCAGACAACTGTTTAAATTAAAAAGAGCTAGAACTTTGACTAGGTTCTTAGTGCCTGGGATAGTTCGAAATGCACTGATAGTAACATACATGAAAAGTGAAGTCTCATTTGGAATTGCAACTGGCGAACTTGTGCATGCTATCTTACAACAGTTCAGAGCGTTATTCGCTTGATGTGCTGTATAGTTCTGTAACACAATTTATACATTCTCTAATATTCGTGTTATCTTTTGGAATATTTCTTGCTTTGGATCAGTATTTCTTCAGAAAATGATAATATGCCAAGTATGATATGCAGAGAAGTACTCCATCTCCTTGTTATTTGGTATTCTTATCAATCTGCTACTGCATGTTTGCTGTATTAAGAATTGGAAGAAGACATACAGATTCATGCCTAGGAGATGTCAATGACACATTTCTCCAATCATTCATAATGTAGGACAAAGAAAAAAAGGCATAGTTGTGCTCAGTTTCCTTACCTTTTACACCACAAATTAGTGATTATGATTTTTTTTTCTTTTTTGTTTTTTATTTCTTTGCAGAACTGACAAGCCGACCTGGAACTCAGTGAGTAAACACTGTATTTTTTAAATATATTTACAATGAAATCCCATATTCTCTTTCCTTTTAATATCTTTAATGTGATCAATCCATAGTATGCACACATAGCAGATAAAAGTTAAAACCCTTTAGGCCACAATTATTGTTGCTTTCCCACATTGATTAAACACACGTACTTATTTAAGATGTTTATGGCGATTATAGAAATATAGATTTCTGGTCCTTGTACATGCAAATTTTCCTTGTGGGTAGGCGTTGAGTGATCTTTCTATGCTTAACTTACCGTTTGTTTGTCAAGCTAAGTAAGGCATGATAACTGATGTCTAGTTATGCAAGTTACAGTTGGGCATGCACTGACCCTGCAATCCTGGGGATTTTTATTCTGATCTTCTTGTACACACTAATCTTGGTTGATCCATCTCATTGCATTAGGGTGTTTTATTCTTGGTTATGCTCTCTGTGAGAAAACCTGATCATTCAGGTAAAATCTTAAGAAATGAGTGAATAGCCCAAGATCTCTATGAGTTCTTTTGGAAGCATGTCTACCTCCTCTCGAACTACATCTGATGTGGGTGGGACATTGTATATCTCTATCAACTTTCCATATGTGCTAGGGTTCACATGTGAAATTGAAATTAAAGGTGAAACTACAAGCTTATCAAAGTTTATTGTGATGCCATGTGCTTAATTGTTAGGTCTGAATTCTACAATGGAGCTCATAATGAAATTGGTTAAGAATTTAAGCATCCAACCAAAAACTTTCAGGCAATGTGCAAGCTATGTGTGAATAGCCCAATTTTTGTAAGCCCTTTTGATGCTCGTATCCACCTGATGGGACACTTAGTATATTTCTAACACACCCAAATTCTAGAGAGGATAATGACAAGTTCTAGAAGCTATTTTTGACCTTCTTTAGTTTTTCTTTAACAATAATTTATGAGCTATTTCTGTCATGAGCTTTTGGTGATATTATTCAATCTTAATTCCTATAGGAAAAAAAGCTTCTTTTGGAAAGACATGGAGCCCATATTGCAAGAATATCTGTTTTTGAGGTGCGTAGTACTGATGGCTGTGAAATTTATCTCTTGTGGTTTGCATTTCCTTGATGGTGAAAAACTTTGTATAATACACTATACCTCATTAAGTAATAAAAGCTAAACCTAGTGTTGGATGTCCAACCTAGGTGCTGCAATGCATCAAAGAGCATCCTCAATAATTATATATTTCATATTTGACCATGTTAGGTCTCAAGAAGTTGAATTGAGGAGTTTGAAAATTTCCGATCATCATGGACTCATGTTGAGAAAGTTATCGGTAAAAACATGAATTAGGATATATGCTTTCTATCTTACCGAATCATCAATGAATTATGTAGCCCTATAGCTTCCTGGGATTTTATATACAGTTCTCAGAGGAAAGATTAAGCCTCTCCTTTATCTTGATATGTTTGGAAGCAGAAAGCTCTTTGTTGATTTTTTGTTCCCAATCCTGTTCCTTGAGACCTCACGAGGAAGATATTGTTGTTTAATTTTCATCTTTGCATTATGTTGTACTTTGAAATGCCAATAATGGTTTTATCCTACGAGTCATTATGAAAAGAGAAAACAATATAATAGAAAGAGAAAATCCTCAAAAATTACTCACCACTGATTTATTTAATCCATGTTACAGACCAACAGGCTTTCCAAGAACAATCTGATTGGTTACTGTGAGATAGATCTACTTGAATTTCTTTCTCAGGTGAGTTGCTTTTGTGATTGAAACAAAATATCTGCAACAAGTGGCACTTATGTCATGCTTATGTTGCCAACTACGGAATAATTGTTTGTAATGTAACCGTGCAAGTTTGGGTTTTTCTTGTTTGTAATAATCATCTATTTTGAGTTACAGTTTTGACAGAATGACATTTCTGTTCTTCATTTTATTTTTGCTTAAAAGGGTCATGTCAAAGAGAAGACTAAAACATCTGTCAAAGAGATGCCAAATCCACTTGTTAAGAACACGTTCCTCAAGTTATACTCACTTAACAATGATTTTGAATCATCCCCCAATAAGGTTTACTGATCTAAGCTTCTTTATGATTGTGCCCTATATCAATTGTGTATTTGCCTATTTAATGTTAGCTATGATGCGAGGTGGACAAAAGGTGGTCTTTGTTGATCCTAGGAATTTGAAAAAATTTGTTTAAAGCAATTCGCTTGACCAAAAAATCCAAAGATGGAAGCAACATGGCCTTCACTATGCTTGGATTTAGTAGCATTTTAAAAGTCACCACTTCAAACAGCAGTTACTTTCATCAAGCGTTTGGATAAGGCGAAGTAGGATGTCTACCAATGCAAGAAGAAGGATGTTAATATCGAGAACGGTGTAGTTTCGTAAAATGATGATTTTAGAAGTTTTTACTCGTAAAGATTAACAGAAACCCGTTGGCTTGTCAAAAATGTTGATGTAGTGTTTGGAGCTGCATTCCTTAGTTTGCAATATTTGCACCTTTCCTCTACTTGGAGAAAGTTATTCTGTTGTCAGAGGGATCTACTTAAATGATACTATGCTTCCAGATGTATCCCACATTTTTCGTGGTTAATCTATGTCTGCTGAATAGTAAGTCCAAATTTGGATTGCTTAGTGTGGTCAAGTCCCTAATCATGAAATTAGGTTTTCCGTCTCCATTTCAGATCAACTCTTAGCCCAATGCTAAGTGAATAATGTATCTTGCAGGATTCCAGTTCTGATACTGAGGTTTTTGACTTGTTAGACCCATCATCCTTATCAACTGTTGGCCGTATATCTATTTCATGTTGCATCGAGGTTCGTATTCACTGGGGAGCATCTACTTTTAATTGCTTATAGTAGGTTGCTACCGGCTATGATTCCAAATATGCGATTAAATTTTATTGGCAGGACCCTGTTGACACAGAGAAAAGCTTTGTTCGGCGCATCTTATCTATAGTGGTATGTGAAAATTTTACCTATGCCGTCATTCTAGATGAAAGTGTTCTCTTAGTGGATCCTTCTGAAGAACAATTTGCAGTATAAGCTGGCTAGAAGCTCTGTCTCACCTATATAGGCGTGTCCCTTGTTCAATCTTTTCTTTCTAGTTTCTTGATAATTCAAAACGAACTGTTTCAATCTTTTCTCTTTCCTTTTTCTTATCAAGATCATCCTATTGCCTATCACACCAAGACATGCTCAATTTTACTGAAGTTATCATTAAGTATCCAAAAATTCCATCCATTTATCTCTACAGAAAGTAATTGTTTTTCTTTGTGTAGTTCAATGTGGAACATCCATTAATGCACTCCTTTCTTGCTATTAGTCAAAAAGATAAAGTAAAGGGAAAGTAACGGTCATCTGGTTACAATATGTGAATGATTTTTTCAGTTTGTAATAATATACACAATCTCAGTTTTGCTTCTCTGTTGTCATTAAGTTATTATTATTTTGTAATGAGATGACTTATGAATTAGTTATTAGAGATTTGTTGCTCTTTGCAGGACTATAATGAAGATGGAGAGCTGTCATTGGCTGAGTTCTCTGATTTGATTGCTGCGTTTGGAAATAAGCTGGCAGCTGAGAAGGTTCACATCTGTAGAGTAACTTAAGCTCATACTGTAGTTTTTATAGATCCTCTCATGCAACATGTTATTGGACTTGATTTCTCATTCAGATCACATCCTATTCATATTGTTATTTCAATAATGACCTTTTCTCAACATAATATAAATGCATTTTGAATAGCACCTAAACCAGCTAAGAATTCTAGATACAATTTTTGTAATTATTAAAACCAAGGCACATCATATATTTTTTGTGAAGACTCCATAGCTTAGGAGTTTTTATTCTGTTTGTCAGAAAGAGGAGCTATTCAAACAAGCTGACAGAAATGGGGATGGTGTTGTCTGCTTGGATGAGCTAGCCACCCTTCTGGCTATACAGCATGAAAAGTAAGGCCTCGTAAAATTTGCCTGCCTGGAATTAATTGTGACTTCTTTTTGTAGTACTCCCTTCAATGCTCAAATTTAATGAACTGCAGCATCTACATGAGTTCTTTTATTTATTTGAATTCTTAGCTACTCTGGGGCAAGCAAAGTGGACCATTGAACCAAAGGCACTTGCCAGTTGGGGTTGTATTATGCAACTCTATTTTGAAAGTTCTTGCATTTTTCCTTAAATGTTGTGCTTAAAGTTCACACTGCCGCTGTCTGTGTTAATTAAAGCCAAAGGTGGTAAACACGCCTTAACACCTTACGAAACGAGTTACAGGATTTAGAAAACTTCCCAAGACCTAGAAGGTCGCATTTGAACTTGTGAAAACTTCATACGTAACAACTCTTTCAGATCAAAAATCGAGAATTTAATGTTCAATATATGTACGTCTAATTCTACTTTCTCATAAGTTTTGAGGATTTTATTGATATAGCAAAATGGGCATAAGTACCTGCTTGTACATACTGAGTGATACAAAAAGTAAACCCCCCATTCCATCTTGGTAATCTTGGCATCAACGTGCGTGACAATAAAAAAGGGCAGCCCTGTGCACTAAGCTCCCGCTATGCGTGTGTGTGACAATCTGTGAGAAAAAAACGTGTGTGACAATCTTTTAGTAAAGCTATTATGTTCATTAAAGGAAGGAAAAAGAAACAGAAAAAGATCAATACCAGAGCAAAACAGAGCTATTCTCTAGACCTAATACCATATGCAAACTTCAAATGATTTCCATTTGTTAATTCATGGTTGTCTGGCTAAAAAATTGGGGAGAAAAGTTAAATTGCTATATATGAAGTTTCCATAGTGTTTTTGCAAGGGTTTATTCAAAATTATAAATAGTGTCTTCTGCAGAAAGAAAAATGTGAGGCATCATCATGAATTAGGTGCACAAGGCTCTTCATTTCTTAAGGATAACATCCCAATAAATATATGCTTAGAGTGAAAACTATTAGCAATCATCACAAAATAGAAGCACAAGGCTCCCTTCTTTAAAGAGAAGAGAACATTCTGATGAAGTACTGAACTTCATGATGTATGATAAATCTAGATGCTTCACTTGAAGTAAACTGAAGGTAGTTAGTAAGGAATAAAATGGATGAAAGCAAAAAGTTCCTACGTGTGCCTTTTCCTTGACTTGACTTTATCTTAAAAGAGATTACTTCTTATATCATGCTCTATCATGTGAAAACACAGTTGTCGTTTAAACCTTTTATATGGTGGTATGTAGCCTGAAACATTGTTAACGAGAAACCAATTATATCCTTAACAATGTACATGAGGAGTGGGTAGAAGTTAGAGACACATCGAACAATTTATATAGGGATGATTAGAAACCTCCTTGTAATTTCAACTTTTCAATTTGATGTCATCTTGTCAATATCTTCTTTTGGACATTCCTAAACTTTTGTCCAGAGTTCTTCACCTCAAAGTGAAGATACATGACATCTGCAATTACTTGCATTGAATTATTTTTCTTTTCTGGCAGATATAAATACTTCTGTCATTGGCTTCATGGTCTTCTATTCTCCTGTAGACTCAATGTTCTTCTCTTGCAGGGAACCACTAATCAATTGCTGTCCAGTATGTGGCCAAGTTCTTGAAGTTTCAGATGGGTTGAACAGCATGATTCATATGACCTTGTGTTTTGATGAGGGGACTGGGAATCAGGTTATGACAGGAGGTTTCCTGACTGAGAAGGAGGCTTCAAGTGGGTGAGAACTAAGCAACAGTTCTGAGTTCTAATTATTCCTAATAAAATTACTTCTGTCTTGATTATTATTAATTTTTTTTTTTGAAATTCTGCTGATTTTATTATGAAATGTTGAAGTTCGCATACTTGAATAATTCTGTGTAGATGGATGTTCAAACTGAGTGAATGGGCCCATTTCTCAACTTATGATATCGGTTTAAGGTCTGGTTCAAGTGCATCACATATCTTGGTATGCTCTTGTACTCACTCCACCCCTCAACGATAATGTCTCTCACCTTTCTGGTATGCATATATGGAAGAAGCAACCTTTTTTCTATAGAAACTGGGAGAAGGATCTAAGACATTGATGCGTGCTTTACTTGCCTTGTCTTCTTACAAGTTCTTTTGCAAGCCTCTCGGACCTTTGTATTTGTAATTTTCACACTGTTTATCAATTTAGGGTTCTGTTATGAATTCTGAAGTGCGTATGATCCCACTGCTGGCGAAAGTAATTACTTTGAATTGTCCGAGGATCTTATATGATTTCTTCCTTTGAGACTCGCCTTCCTTTGAATCTTCTCATTTTATTTTTCTTGAAAATAGTTACCAACACACTCCGAGGGCTCACCTATTTCCCCATGTTCATTTCCTGCATCCCTGTAAAACTCATAAAGAACAACTCGGCAAAATGACCCCGTAACTTCGGGCAACTGGATGTTTTTTTTTTCAATCGTTCTCTCTTTCTTTTAGCCTTATGTGTAATTTCTGAGCAGAGTGGGATGGGAATTAGAACATGCTTTTGTCCTCTGATGTTGCATCCTGCACTTGTTAGGTTTATGATCGCAGAAAGAAAAGGCTAGTGGAGGAAATAATTGATCGGAAGATTGTCTTGTCAATGAGGGCTATCTATCAGTCTAAATTTGGCCTTGGCCTTATGGATAATGGTATGCTTTTGACTTAATCAGTTATCAAAGGATCCTCAATTGTGCACAGTTTTTGTATATATACACTTCTTCTATATGTAAGCCTATATATGAACATCCTGATATCCATCTAGTTTGCCCTTATGATATAGATTAGTTTCGGTTTTTGGCCCATGTACTCAAAGTAGCTCTTTAGACTTCAATTTTAATAATACAATGGTTCTAGTCCATTTTTAATATACGTATCTCAATCTGTTAAAAATCAGGGGTATTTGGTAACTCTCATAGTGGAAAATCAGAAGAAGAACAAACAGAAAGCAAACTCATAAGAACAAGCTTCGCTTTTTCTGTCATCAACGGGGTAATAAGGGTGATTTGGGGAGTCTGGCTAGGGAAGGATGAGTCGGGGTTTTGAGAGGACGGAGGGTCGGGTTAATGGATGGTGGAGGAGCTTGTTGAGGGAGGAAGGGGAAGGGCTAGGGTGGATAAGGAATCTTAATTGTATTTGGGGATACAGATGCTACATATTCAGTTGGGGTGCTATAAGTACGCAATGGAGTATGCTAAATGTTAGCTAGTTTTAGTGTTTGAAGGATCTGCGCTAGATACTTGTAAGTCGTACTCGTATTACACCCATTCAACCTGTGTAAATCAGGGGACATGAAAGTTGCATTTAAATTAAGTCCAGGTAGTGGGTTGTTGAGGATAGGGATGAGCAGCACAGGCGAGAAGATTTTTTTATATTTTTTTTTAATTAAAAAAAGAGGATCTATAGTGTTTCCACACTTCCCCTCCAGCGTGACTCAAACCCAGGACCTAACGGTCGTGGGTGGAGGTGCTTTACCAACTGAGGAAGCCTCACTTGTTCAAGAGAGAAGATTGGGTTGAGCCGTTGAGGTTTTAATTTTTTCCCTTTTTCATGTGTTTTCTTTTTATTTCTTTCCACTTTATTTTTCACTTTATGCATATTAGTTTTTCCTTTCTTTTTTGCTTATTTATTCTGTTTGTTCATGCAAAAGACTATTTTAAATGTGTTAAAATTTTCAAAAATCCAGATTTATTTTATTTTCCTGTTGTATGCTGAATTAATAAATTGCCCTAGATTTAAATCAGATTTAATTGTTCTTGTTCATTCTTAACGGTTATATTAAAAAATGAGCCAAAAGTTCCACTTCTGGATAAATGAGGTCGGGAAGCGCAAGTAAGGATAACACGGGCCACCGAACTAGTTCTAGCAAATTTTGAGTAAGACATTGCTTTACGTGTAAGTCAAAACTATCAATGTAGCATGGGCCACAAGTGCTCTTTATCCTGGAAAAAAAAGATATATCTAGCTGATGCTGGTTTCATAATACAGAACTCTCCCATCATCCTATCTATCTTTCATATTTTTCCTTTATCAGATACTATCAACTTGAGAAATGTACAGTGAGTATCTAGTATTCCCTCCGTTCCAGTTTATGTGAACTTTTTCGCTTTCGAGAGTCATTTGACTAATCTTTGAAGTTAAATTGGATTACATTAACTCGATATTTTAAAGTTAAAATTTAGATATTCAAAAACTATATGAAAAATGCTCTAAGTTGCAATTCTTTCTCATGTCAATATGCTGAAAAAATGCATTTCAAAATGTTGGTCAAAGTTTACATAGTTTGAATCTCGAAAAGCAAATAAGTTTACATAAAGTGGAACGGAGGTCGAGAGAGTGTATAAATTGTGTCCCCCATTTTTTTCTGCTGTGGATTCTTGTTGCTGATCGTTACCATTTTAACTTTAGCACAGGCGCAAAAGAAATCTTGCGGAGCCTCTCTGAAAAACAGGGCAAGAAAATGGATTCTGCTGAATCTGCTAAAGAAATACCTAACTTCATTGAATTTTTTAAGGTATTCTTCCTAGTTAATTATGATGTCATAATTAGTTCTGCTTATACATTATTCTTCTTTCATCGTAGTAGATTCACTAGCTAGCCTAAGCCAACTGCCGCTAGATTCTGTACTTTTCTTCGATATAACTATTTTGCTATAATGTCTTGGAGAATATAAATAATTATCCTTTTGCTTTCCCCATTTTTACACTCTGCTACTGTTGCAATAAACTGTAGGTGCCTTGGAAGAGATTTGAATGATAAAAGCTATGTCCTTTGATTAAATGCAACTTTCCTTCCATGTGTTATGTACAAAAAGCTATCCCCTCTATCCTTAAGGACCCTTACCTTTTATTATGAAATATTGTCCACCTTTTATTATGAACTATTGTCCATCTTCCTCATATCGGAAGAAGTCTGCTTCAACACTTAATTACTTTTGATATTACACTATACAATCAAGTTAGAAATGCATAACAACTCCAGATTTGGTCAACTTACCTCGGGTGCTTTGACTACATCTACAGCCGAGAAGTATAGCTTGATTGGGTATTTGGTTTGATTTTTGGGTTTATGTAATATATATACATATAGTTATATAAAGTGTGTGAATGCTTTGCTATTACACGATATATCTTATGAATAAAATATTAAGTGTTTATAAGGAATTAAATATTATAATTTTTAGTTCAGTAGCTTTAATTAATTGAGATATATACTCTATATGTCGTAATATATATTTATTGGTTGTATCCCATCACCCGTATCTGCACTCGAATCCATATCCCTGAATCCTAAAATTTATGTGATGAAGAATCCAACGACCTTTAGATCCGCACTTGCACCGGATACTCGCACCCGAGTCCGAGCAACATAGATCATAAAAGATCTTTTGAAGTGTGGAATCCTAGTATGTAATCATTGCAGAAGAATTCAATTGTCAAATAGGACCAAAGTTTTCCTAGTAAAAATTCTAGATTTATCCAAGATACAACTTTTAAACTCTATTCTTGGGCCTACTTCTCTATAAAGTACTGTAAGATTTGAATTATACTCCTGATCCCTTTATGTCTAAACTAAGACTACTGTGAGAGTGAAAACTGGAGCGTAAGGCCAGACACTGAACAGTTCTTTGAGCTGAAATGGGAGAAGTAATTCTTTTATCCTCATTATCATCTTGAAGTCCCAATTTCCAGATGCTGAAGATGAAATCATTTGTTTGGTGATTTGACAGCATAGCTACTCTATGCTGAACATGTTTCGTGCTTGAATTTGTTATCATTTCCATAATTCCTGGCAATATCTATGTATAGTGTCTTTCGACTTGGTCTCTTTTGCAGTACACAGAAAGTTATCTTATTCTTGTGAACTGTGATTGACTTCAATAATTCTGTTTTAGGGTCAAATAAATATGGATGAAGTCAAGTATCCACTGGAGCAATTTAAGGTACGCCAACAGCATCAAGCAACTTGGGATTTCATTTGAAAGAGATTCTTTCTTTCTTCAATTAAATTTGGTATGCTTCTTGTAAATCGAAGCTTTCCCATTATCTAGAAATAGGACTTTACTTGCTCTCAAAAAGAAAAACAAAGAAAAAGGTAATTTTCCAACTAGGTCTTTGGACTGATTGCAAGAGAATGAACTGATACTGGCAGTGTTATGAATTATGAAAAGAATGAATTTAATTTGGTCTGTTGCTTGCATATGCTTAGATTGAGTAGAAGTCAGTGAGGACGATTACTTGTCACTAGGATGCATTGTATCTTGATCAATCCAATGCACCTTATTTGTATTTGATTATTGTTCTTATAATTATCTGATCTTGTAATTTTTTATAAAGTTTGAACTATCATTGCGCATCATTGCTTAATGGTCTCGTAAATTTGGTTTCCAGACATTCAACGAATTTTTCATAAGAGAGTTGAAGCCTGGTGCAAGACCTATTGCTTTTATAGAACGTGATGATATTGCTGTATGTGCTGCTGATTGCCGTCTGATGGTATTCAACAGTGTTGCTGATAGTATAAGATTTTGGATCAAGGTAAATCCAATTTATTGTAAACAAATGTTTGTTTTTCATTATTGCTTGTAAATATTCTGCTGTTTCTCATGATATCTATAAAGATCACTTACTGCAGATTATTTGCGGATCCTATCCGGTAGTTCAATGTAAAACAAAATATTTCAACTTTTTACCACATGACAGAAACTTTATAACCCTTGTTCACATTTGTCTGAATTGCTTTATTTTGCTTTTCTTTTTTCGATTTTTGGCGTGTGTTGTGAATTGTAATGTCCATGACAGAAATGCCAAATCATTTTGCCCTATAGCGAAATCTTAGAAGTTTCAAAGCTTCTACTTATTTTCATTGTGATGCAAACTGCCTTGGTATCTTATGGATTACCTCAGGGTCGAAAGTTTTCCATCCAAGGTCTTCTGGGGAATGAAGCATGTTCCAGCGCATTTATCAATGGAGCTCTAGTGATATTTCGCTTGGCACCACAGGTAGAATTGTTGTGAACCTTCTTCCTTGTTGGAGCTTGTTAGTTTATAGATATGTATAGTGTAGTCTTGTCCCACATTGGAAGAGGAATAATATATCCTTGTAGTGTATAGCTATAAATAAGGATCTCTTGTATTGTATTTATCATCTAATATCAATAATATATTTTTCCTCATGCTTTCTCACATGGTATCAGAGCATTAGTGAGAAAAGATCGCTGTGCGTCATTCCAGCGTTAACCGGGAAGAAAGAACTTAGTCATCGTGCAATTTTTCCGGTGACCTAAGGCCTGTCTAAGTGAAAGTCACTTTCTGTCGGTGTTGTGCTAAAACCAACACCACCACGAGGTAGATCACCCTCAGACTACCAACCCCTGAAATTTTATCCGTCAGAAAAGCCGCCACGCTCCTCCACGCGCCGGCAACAACTTTTCCGGCGAGGGTTCCGACCACTTTCCGGCCATTTTTTCGCGAAGCTTCTTCAGGACAGTGTGCTCTCCTCAAAATTCCGAGCCGACCCATCTAATTCAAATCAAATTCCGGCAACTTTTATATTTTTCCGGCGTGAATAGTGACCTTTCTGGCCATTGTTTGAAAACATTTCTTCATGACAGCTTGCTCGCAAAGGAATTCCGAGTCTATCCATCCTGGTTACAACAAATTCCGACAATTTTGGAATTTTCCGGCGAGATACAGTGTTTCCGGCGTGAACAGTGTTTCCGGCACAGAACAATGTTCTGTTTTCCTGCTGTAAACAGTGTTTTTCAAGCTATTTCTTCAGTTTTCTCACAGGAGTTACTTATTTCCACTATTTCAAGTTAACCCTACTACTACAAATTGTAGCGACATGGGAACCGATGCTTTAAATAGTCGGATGGTTTCTTTAGCAGAGTATATTGAGTTCCTTCAGTATAAAGCATGTAAGCAGAC